TTTGAAGGGATGCTATTATCATTAATTTATATGAAAAAAATGTTCAGTATTATTAAAGTAATTAAGAAAAAATACTTCACTATGCTTTTGTATATATTTATGTATATATATGTATGTGTGTATACATATGTATGTATATAAATATTATGCCACAAGTGGTAGTTCCTCTTTTATTTTTTCCTTGAAGTACATTGGATTACAGCATTGTTTGTGATGTAGAGATATAGTAGCTCCTCTTTCAAAAGGTGTTTTAACCACATCATACCCACCACCAAGACCCCCAGTCCTCCACCTCCATCATAGTCCATTGTACATTTACCATTTATGAAACATTTTATTTTTTCCTCTGGTATTGTTTTCTGAGAACTTCCTTTAGTGTATTTTATAAGGCAGGTCTACTAATAAATTCTCTCAGTTTCTTTCCCTGGAAATGTTTTTATATATTACTTTCATTTATTGAAGGGTGAGTTTGCTTGCTATAGAATTCCTGTTTGACAGTTCTGGGGTTTTCCCTTAGGATTTATGTAAGTCCTTCTGCTGCTATCTAGAATGATGAGAAGCCGGTCATTATTATATTGTTACTCCTCTAGGTGATTAGTCCTTTCTTTCTTGCTGCTTTTGAGATTTTCTCCTTGCTTTTGACTTTTAGCCATTTGACTATGATGTATTTGGGTGCGCATCTCTATGTATTCTTATTTAGGGTTTGTTGAACTTCTTGGATCTATAGGTTATATGTGTTTCATCAAAGTTTAGAGTTTTTTAGTCAGTATGTCTTCAGATAGTTCACCTGTTCCTTTCTCTCCTTCTCAAACATACACTGGCATATTTGCTGTTATCCCACAGGCCCATGAGGCGCTGTTCATTTTTTTATCTTTCCTTCAGACTGAATCATTTTTATTAATGTATCTTCATTATTTTAGTCTAATTACCACCTCATATCTACTGTTGAACCCAAATAATAATTTTTTTTAAAACCATAACTTTCGGGCCTCCCAGGTGGCGCAGAGGTTGAGTGCTGGGTTGCGAAGCTGCCCGCAGCTTCTGGTTCGATCCCCAGCCCTCAGCAAGGGTCCCACATGGCACGCAGACCTCTCTTGTCTCGCCTGCTGCTCCCCTCAGCAGTGTACTTCGTCAGTCTGCCTGTTCTGCTCTCCCCTCTGGCTCTGGTGAATTCTCTCACCCTCCCACGCTTCTGACTGTACCCAGTGCTTGTATAAATAAATAAATAAATAAATCTTTTAAAAAAAAAAAACAAACCAGGGCCTCCCCAGTGGCGCAGCGGTTGAGCGCTGGGTTGCGAAGCTGCCTGCAGCCTCTGCAGCACCGGTTCGATCCCCGGCTGCTCCCCGGCCACTGGCGGAGGGTCCCACATGGTGCGCAGACCTCTCCTGCCGCCCGCTGCTCCCCTCAGCAGTGTACTTCGTACCTTCTACCTGCTCTGCTCCCTGCTCTGGCTCTGGTGAATTCTTTCACCCTCCTGCGCTTCTGACTGTACCCAGTGCTTGTATAAATTAAAATAAATAAACAAACAAACAAACAAACAAATAAATAAATAAAGCACAAATGTTTAAAAAAAAAAGTTAAAAAAAAAAAAACAAACCAAAACATAACTTTCAACTCTAGAATTTCCTGGTAATTTTTTAGTAGTTTGTATTCCTGCATTGAGATAATATATTTACAGAGTTATTGTTATAAATTTTCCATCTTAACTCTTTGAACAGAATTTTCTTTAATTCTCCGAACATCATCTTTATAATTGCTGTTTTGACAATGCTTTGTAAATTCAACATTTGGGCCCACGAAGTCATTTTATTAATAACTTTTTCCCCTTAATCTGATCTGATTTTTCTGTTTCTTTGCATGTTTCATAGTATCTTTGAAAACCACACATTTTAGAAAAAATATTGTAACGATTCTGGATCCCAGTATTTTTTCTTGAGTGTTGTCCTTTTGTTGTCAGTATTCTTAAAATGTGTTTTATAAACTTTTCTGTGCTTTACCTGCAGAATTTATCTTCCCTGTTAATGTGGTCACTGACATCTTTGTTTTGTTTTTCATTCTTGGTTTACATGTTTTAGCATAGACTGGCACACATTGCTTTTGGCATAATAGATTGATTGGCCAAAGGCCATGCTAAAATGCCTCAAGTCCATAAGACTTTCTTTTTTTGGTCCATGGATGTAGGTGTGGGTGGAGAGCACATTCAAAACTCAGATAACACTCAGGTTGGTCTTGGCTTTTACTTTCCATCAGAGCTTCTTATATCTTTGCTGCACACATGTGTAGTTCCCAACCTGCCAGGGACACCTAGAGAATGTCCCTAGCCTCTCTGAAACTGTTTCATTTCCAGGCTCTTCCCATTACATTTTTAGCAGGTCTGCTGCTTGTCTCCACTAGGACTACCACATCTGACTTGCATTTTTTCTCAGTTGCCATTTTTCCTTTCTAATTGGTATCTATTTTGCTATATTTATTGCCAGTACCACTGGGTAGTGGTCTTTGCAGTCTGCTCTAAATCAAGTCCGCCCCACTGCCTGGCAGCCTAGCTTCCTGTTCTCACGTCCTGCTCCACTCCTGTAAAACTTCCTTATTGACAGAGCCAGGGTGGAGGCAGGTGGGGATAACAAGTGTTTCAAGGTAAGAAGCCTGCAGATTCTCTCTGTTCCTAACTTGAAGTTCTAGCAGCTTTTCTAAGATAAACTTTCGATTTTACAGCTAGTCATTGATTTAATATCATCTGTTTAATCAATAGCTATAAAATCTTAATATAATACATGAAAAAAAATTAACTTTTTTTTTCAGGTAGCCAGAGCTAGCAGATGCATAAGAGATATCAATAGATATGTGTTAATAAATATTAGTGTGAGGCAGGTGAAGAAAGCTGGATTCAAGTTGGACAGGGACTTGCTAGAGCTGTGGCCCCAAGGTCTGCTTAAGGCTGAGAATGAAAGTGAGGGGAGCAAAGAGAGAGTACAGGCAGAGGCAATGTGTAGGTGGCACTTGGGGAGACATGCACCATCCTCCAAACAATGAGTAACTCAACCCCCACCACACATACATCCAAACCCCCACTCCCAGTGTCACCGGTACAAATGGAATTGTCTTTCCCATTTCATATAAGAGTATGCATGTTCTTACAGACATAAATGTTTTGGGGTTGGAAGGTGAAGGAACAACCACACATAATTCTTTTCATGGGCACCTCTGAGTTCAGCTTCTCCTGAATCTAAGATGAGGAAACGCCATGAGAATCTAGCCAGTCCTTTGATAAAATCCAGCCAAGGGCTTGTTTTATTTGGCCCACACCATTTTTTAAAAAATTGTGCCAATATTTAAATTTAGGAAGTTTTACATAAAAATCTGGATTTGTAGGTTATTTTGACAAATGGGAAGACCTGGCACACTGAACCTGCATTCCCACATGGCACAGTTGGCTGGAGCGCGAAGCTCAGCCTCGGCTGGATCCACTTTCCAGCTCCCCACAGCCCTTGTCATCTGGGGGTTTATCTGACTGGTCTTGCCCCTTCAGGTCACTGCCTCTTCTTCACAGGTATTTATCTAGTCTGTTAAGGCTGTCATAGTAAAATACCACAGATGAGGTCCCCATCAGTGGTGGAGATTTCTGCTTCACAGTTCTGAAGTCAGGATGCCAGCCTGGTCTCATGAAAGTCCTCTTCTGGGTCCCGGACTTCTCCCCCAGTCTTTGCTGAGTAGAAAGGGGTGAGCTGGCTCTCTGGAGACTCTTTGTAAAGGCATTAATCTCTTCCTGAGGTTCCCTACCCACCCCGTGACTCAAGCATCTCCCAACGGCCCCACCTCTTACACCATCACACGGGAGTTTAGGATTGGAACATACGAATTTAGTATTTGGGTTTGCAGTCTGACATACTGGTTAATTCACAGTGTAAACAATTGATACATTTATCAACAAAAATTTTTTCATGTTGGTAGAATTGTGTACCGCTCACTAGCTACATAGAAACCTTCTAGGGCTCACCATTGCTTGCCAATTGACACCTGCATTCCTTACCTGGCAGCAGTCTTAACTGCAACTTAGAGCCATCATCTTATAAAGGCGGCAGAGTTCCACATGGGGTTTTAGCTTATAGAAACAGCCCTATGGGCTTGGGAGAGACAGGAGAAAAACAGATAGCAGAAACTCAGAGAGCAATTTAATATTGCAGGCCACTCCTTCCCTCATCCTACTCTTTGAAAATGTGCCTATTGGTACTGGATGTAGTTAGGTCTGAAACAATGTATTTGCAAAACTTTATATTAAAAAAAGGTATGAATGATTTTGGTCCCCTTACCATTGGTACAAGGGTGAATGAAATGTGTTGTTCATATTGTCAGGCTACTAGGCTTCCTGGACATCCCTGAGGAAAAATAAGAATAATTATAGACTAAAGCGAAACACTAGCTGATTAAGAGTTGGTAAAATTTATCTACAGTTTGTATTGTGTAAACCGGTTATGAGCTCTCCTATACTTGACCAGACAATTTTGTCAATGTATCTCTCCTACACACTAACTTCTCTTCATGTTTGGGTTATTAATTATATTTCAAAATTGAAATGAATCTGAATATAAACACAACTAAAAATTTAAAACAAACATTTGTCTTAAACAAGTAAATCAGGCCTCCCCGGTGGAGCAGTGGGTTGAGCACAGCGCTGTGAGGGCAGCGCTGTGAAGCTGTCATCAGCCTCTGTAGCATGTGTTCGATTCCCGGGCAGCTAGGGAGATACCCACATGGCACGGCAGACCTCTCCCGCCTCGCCCACTGCTCCCCTCAGCAGTGCTTTTGGTCTGTCTCCTGTTCTGGCCCCGCCCCCACTCTGTCTGTGGTGAATTCTCTCACCCTCCCTCGCCTCTGGCCTATACCCCAGTTCTTGTATAAATAAATCTTAAAAAAATAATAATAAACAAATAGATCGTGTATGTTAGCTCTTTTCAACGGCACTCACACTGGCAATCCTAGACCAACTCTGGTTCTTACAGGAGCATCCAATACTTGGGCAACCATTTTTTGTACTTCATCCCTGCAAGACAAATGAATTCATGGCTCCCGTGTTAAAGAATTCTCGGAAAATCAATAGGTAAGAAACACCACAAGATACATTGGCTTTTACTCTTATTTTCAAAGTGTAAATCTTCTTAGGTGTCTCTAAAAGCTAAGCTGAAAAAAAGAAATATTCTTTGTAATAATAATAATGGCTAACATTTATTGATTTTTACTATGTGCTAGGTACTATTCTAAGTATTTTAGATATATTAATATATTACATTTTATAGCACCCCTATGAGCTAAGTACCATTCTTTAACCCAGTTTACAGAAGAAATTAAAGCACAGAGGGGTTAAGTGACTCAACCAAGGTCACACCTCTAGTGAAGTGATGGAACTGGGGCTTGAAACCATAGAGCCATGCTCTTAACCAATGCTTCGCTTGTCAATGGCTTTGGACCTCAAGTTCTTGTAAAATAATGGGGTTTGGCATTTGGAAATGCCAGGATTCCAAGTGGTAGGCACACATTTTTGAAGGGACCCTCATTGGTTGGTAACTGATTTTCTATCACTCATCCAAAATAAGAGTAGAAATGGAATTGCCTATATTTTCATTTGCTTCCCAGGAACACCAACTACGTTACCTCATGGCTGAGCATTATCGGGCCAGTTGTTGGGCTGAATCTACCTCTGAGTTATGCGAAAGCAGCTACTCAAGATGAATGAAATATTGACTGACCAGGTACAATGAAAAACTAATTGACACGTTTGCCGTTGCAAAGATCACAACAATGTCTCTGATGCTCGTGGACATGTCATCCTTGCTGGCCCCACCAGATATCAAGCTCACTTTCATCTTTTACAGACTGAACACTGACTTGTGTTTTTAGTTTTCCAACCAACCAGTGCCCAATAATTTAAAAGATTTAACTTTACTACAATAGTAGTTACCCAACTACCGAACTGGATGGTTTTATTTTAGAACTGATATTCTTGAATAAGTCTTTACTGCTCAGTTAACCTTCTTTTATTCTCTAGCCTTTTGTTTTGTTTATATTCTTCTATTGAGTCCAATGAACATAGAAATAGCAAGAAGAAAACTGAGTTTATGTGGTGACCCTGGTTTAGTACCAACACCCTGTGATATTTCAGCACATCAAGATTTTGACATGGATTTTTTTTAATCCCTTGATAGCAACTGACATACTATGTATATTGAAAGGAAATATCTCAAAGACACAAATCACTATAAATGGCAAAAAATTGAGTCTAACTCAATTATAGAACTACAGACACCACTAAAGTACTACCAGGTCATTCTTTTCTGGACCAAACAAAATATCCCCTTTTCTGATATGAAGATTGATGGAGAAATAGATATCTGTGCTCATTTTAATGTAAGTTGTGTGGAAATTATAGTAAAATATAAGATTTACATGTCACTGAAAGCTAATGTCATAAACATGATCTATCTTACATTATTCTCCCACAATCAGACTCAGGGATGATAGATTATTCATTCTTTTTTAATTTAAATGTGTGTTTGTAGATAGATAGGGAGGTAGAGAATAAAGAAAACAAGTATAGGAGATAGTGTATAAAAATAAAAAGTGAGATAATGTATTTTTGTAAGCAAAGTGTAGCAGTAAGGTATTAAGATGAACCTGATCTGGGAGAGTTTTTTGTTCAGGGCTGCTTACTTAGTTTTTCATTTTAACTTGCCAGGGGCTGAAAATGTATGAGAAAAATGTAATTGGCTCTTCAGAGAATCTAGATTAGTGCCTGTCAGTGAAGGATGTACTTTGGAATTACCTGAGGATCTTTTACAACTACAAATGCTGAGAGCCACCTTCAGATGCAGCCTCACTGCAGTGATTCTGAAGCACAAGCTTCTGAAAGATCTCTGGTCTGAAAGTACTTTTATTGTGGGAATTATTTGTGTGATTTGGGTCAACATAGCAGCGTTTTCCAATTCTATGTGCAACTCTGGAAAACTGGACTGATTTCTTCGCCCTGAGATCCTAGAGAGGAAGGAATTCTAGGACTGGAGAGGCAGCCTGTGGGAGAAGCTGTTAGTTTAAGGGATTATCTGCTGGTGAATCTGACAGCACTCACTTCCAGCCAGTTGGTTAAGGGCTGGACTCTCACAGAGAAGAGTAGTGGAGAAAGAGTTAATTCAAACTGCTAGAAAAGCTAAAAGTAAATTTTAAAATGCTGAGCTGCATATATTCATGCCGGGCTGTGAGCCTGCTTACATGCTTGCTGGGCATTTTGGTATTTACCACTTAACATCTTTTCAACTTCTGCAAGGGATTTCTCCCCCTCCCCTTCTCTTTAATGTAAACACAGATTTCTCAGCAAGTCCTTTCTCAAACCTTGTCTTATCTGCTGCTAAATAATAATAATAATAATAATAATAATAATGTGTCATCCAGATGATACACTCATTTGGAAATATTAATTACAATTTGGTAACAGACTCTGAGATGATAGTTTGTGGTCAGCATGTAGTTGTTTTTAAAAGTGAATTTTTTTTTCTTTGGTTGATGAAGACCTGAAAATTCATCAGTGGCAGACAAAAGTTCATATTGCCCCTGTAGGCTATAGAGATGTCTCCCCAGATAGTATAGACATCCCCCCAGATTAGATTCCCTCTCCTCAAGTTACTGTTTCTTTTCAGAATGTTTTTTACTTAAAAAAATTAAAATTCTTGATTAAAATGTGAAAAATATTTCCAGTTTTGAGAATGCACTTATACAACAGACTATTATCCCAACAGTTATAAAATATTAAAAAATATTTTGTTTTTTCAAAGAAACGCTTCTTTCTCTGCAATAGGAGGATTTTTCCCTCCAGGTTTCCCATCCAGTTAATATAATGCAAAGCCCCTTTCAGTCAGAAATAAGGCTGGTTAAAGCTCCTGCCAGCCAGTCTCCTGAGCTCTACTTTTGTGTGACCTTGGAAAAATTATTTCACCTCTTTGGTCCTCAATTTCATCATTTACAAAATGAGGAAATTCAACTGTGATTTGTGAGGCCCACTTCAATCCTTGGACCTTTGGAATAGTGACTGTACCAAAGACGTAGCTGAGTCTGGCTAGCTGTGCTATATCACTTGGGCTAATGCTCTTCATGTCCTTTTATCTGTTACCATTTTTATGAGTAAGAAGCACACAATACCTATCCTGCTTAAAGGCACAGAGAAGCTCACAATGGTTGGTACATCTGAGTGTGCTTCAGCACCAACACAATGCCCCGCAGAATCTGGATCATGGACAATGGGCCCCTGCTCCTGCCGGGACCTCCTTTTGTGTCCAGCTGCTCCCAGATGCAAATGGAGATCAGGCAGATCTTCTCTGCCGTGTCCTTCTCTGACTGTCGCTCATGCCACTTCCCACTTTGAGATTCTTCCTTCCCCATGCCTCTACCCGGCTCTCCACCTAGTCCATAGGAGTCCCTCTTCAAGAAAGCCATCTCCAACCACTAGCACCCAATTGTCAACCTCCCCCTTTCATTTTTCATGGTGCTTAGTCATATTAGCATTTAATTGTCTTTTTTTTTAATTCTTTTTTATTTTATATATTTCTTACATCATTTTTCATTTTTGCAGAATGTATGCATTTTCATCTTGGTTATAGTCCCCATACAATTCCCACCCCCCTTGTTTTGATCCTGCTCCCTTCTCTCTCCCCTGCAGTGTGTCCCTGGTTTATAGTTGCTTGTTAATTTTGATTTTTACTTTATTATAATTAGTCTTTTGCTTTCACTTCTTCTCCTTAATAATGGATAGTATGTATACTTAAAGTGATGACCCACTTTTGGGGACTATGTAGTGTTTCTATATATTTATTTATTTATGCATACGGAAACTGGAGAATAGGTCAGAGGTACAGGGGGTGAGAAGATTCACCAGAGACAGAGTGGGGAGCAGAACAGGCAGGTCTGCTGAGATACACTGCTGAGGGGAGCAGCAGGCGAGTCAGGAGAGGTCTGCTGCGTCATGTGGGTAGCTCCCTGGCTGGGGATGGACTCAGGCCTCAGTGGCTGGTGACAACTTGATAGTACTGAGACTTTAACCCTGTGCCACCAGGAGACCCTGGGGACTGTGTTTTATAGCATAGTAAGGTGGCATACATAGAAGAGTTGGTATCTGCCCCTTGTAATCTATCCAGGGAAAACTTTCCAGTCTGGGGAGTTCAGTGGGTGGGCTAGTTCTTTGAGCCACCACTGCAAGGGTCGGAAGCTGTGTTGATCCCTGGGTGCTAGTCTATAATACGAAAATGTATTAAAGAGGAAAAAAAGAGTTAAACTGGTCTTTTGCATCTGTTCTCCTAAGATATTATTTTTATTCATCCTCAAGATATTAGAAATAGAGATCTGTATTGTCAGAGTCAGCTCTTATATAATTCATAGAGCTGATATTCCAATGAGTTGAGGGTTATTTTAGGATTAAAACTTGAGGGTAAGAATATGCAAATATTCTCTTCTGTGGATACTGAACTACTGTCATGTACTGAACCTGAGGTTAGGTGATAGGCAGAGCAGGTGTGACCCTGCTCTCAGGAATGCCTCAGTGCATTGGAGAAACTGACAGGTGAGGATGGGGGCTGGAGAATGCTCGTCATGGCAGAGGTGTGGAAAGCATGCACTATGAAGGCTTGCACAAGAGAGATGTGAGTGCAGTCAGAAAAACTCAGGTTTTAGCCTGTTCAAGAATGAAGAAAGGGGGTCTTCCCGGTGGTGCAGCGGTTGAGCGCTGGGCTGCAAAGCTGCCTGCAGACTCTGTAGCACCAGTTCGATCCCCAGCTGTAGGCGAGGGTCCCACATGGCGCAGCAGACCTCTCCTGCTGCACCCGCTGCTCCCTCAGCAGTGTATTTCATCAGTATGCCTGTTCTGCTCCCTGCTCTGGCTCTGGTGAATTCTCTCACCCTCCCGCTCTTCTAACTGTACCCAATGCTTGTATAAATAAATAAATAAATCTTTTAAAAAAAAGAATGAAGAAAGACCCTGCACACACAAATATATACTTTATATATATTACATATATAATTTGTATAAAAGGATGTGTCTTGTGTTATAATATAAATGTATCTCTAACTCCAAGCAAGCGTCAGAAGCTTGAAAATTAGAATAAATAAACTCTCTTCCAATTCTGTGATCCTCTAGTTCTTCTGACTGCTGCTGACCAATATATTGCTAAAGGTTGTTCTAGAAGGAGATAAGAAGTAGTTTATTATTTCTTCCCATAATGCTGAGCTACTTTCATGTGAACATAAGTCCCTGCAGAAGCCCCTCTGGATTTTTATAGGGCTTGTGTACAAAAGTGTTTTAACATTTTTATTCTTAAATATGGTGGTCTTTCAAGCAATGCTGTAATAGAGAGCCCTTACATTAACTTTTGTGCTGTCAATAGCGGCACCTAGTGGTAAAGAAGCCCTAATGCAAGGATCTTGTATTTCGACAATTAGAGCTGAAGTGATTTTAGAGATTACCCAGTCCTATTTCGTAAATTATTAAAAACAAGCTGAAATCTTAAATGTATTTCTACATTAAAATATACTTTATATGAGAATGAATAAAGTTAATGGCTGCGTGGTAATTTCTGGAATTACTTTCCAAAGAACCAGAAATCACTATTGTAACTATGAGGCAGAAATATAAAAAAGCATGCCGTTGGGTTAACAATATACCATAATGCAGAATATCCTGAACCTTTGGTGAGTTGTTATTTACACATGCATGTCAGATCTCAGACTTTATCATGGTGTCTGGTACTTGGTAACACTCAATAAATCTCTGTGGATATTTGAGTATGTGGGTGACACCTGAGCATGGCTTCCCCGCGGTCTCTTTTCTGCAGACAGCAGGGAATGGGCCCACTCTCCTCTTTCTGGAATTTCCACCCATTCTGTCTTTTCAGAAGCTTTCTTTTCCAACATCAACAACAAAGAGGATAGGTTCAGAGAGGCCCTTTCCTAATGTTAATAGGGAAGTAGCTAAATAAAACATGGTCCTTCACAGTGGTTAAGGGGAATGAATTCAATATCTATGGAACAAAACAGGCAGATCTCATAAATTGTTGAGCTAGGATAGGAAACAAATACTAGATGCTAGCTGGCTGTGCCGCCCATTAAACACTACATCAGAACTACACCAATCCCATACATTTTCTACAGTACATATACAGTATAGGTGTTAAAAACATAAAACATGATCAAGAATGAGAGTGACACATGGGAAATTGGCTTAGAAGTGACTCTGGATTAGAAGAGAAATTGGATTAGAAGTGACTTCTGTATTAAAGAAGACTGATTCTTATGTAATGCTACATTTTTTTATCCTTGCAATGTGAAACTAAAAATTCATTTAAAAAAATTTTAGTCCTCATAAATATATCACCTAAACACAACTATAGTTAAATTTTTATGAATTGCAATAAACACTGTTATGTGTATCTTCATACTAGTTTAAACATATTTACTAGGATATATATGTCTTAATAAATAAATAAATACACGTGGTTTATACCTCCGGATTTTTTCCACCTTATATTTTGAATATTTTCCTGTATTATTTAGTCTTCGTAGAAAAAAGAAACTTAAAATGACTGGGATATCTTCTGTATCACATTGTACCAAGTAATTATCTTATTATTGGACTTTTAGGATGCTTTGAAGTCTTTGCTATTCATTTAGCATACATTCATTGAGCCCTTGCTTCAAAGATCAAGATCTATGCTTGGGAAGGTGATCAGGAGTGCAAATGAAATCCCTCCCTTGAATAGCTTGTAGAATGTAGTATAGTGAAAAAATGTATGTAGAAGCAGTTACTGGCATTTGTTTCTTTTGGTTATACTGGTACTAAGGGAATTAACAGATCAAAGAATATGGGATGTTCTTATGACTTAAGATTCACTTTGCTAAATTGTTCACTACTAAGGTGATACTAATTTACATTCCCTGCAGCAATCAGTGTTTTACTATTTCCTAAATTCTTTTAAAATAATTTTATTTTAGTTTGCTTTTATTATTGAATTGGACATTTTTCTCTGTCATGCTAAAATATGCAAGGATTCTCAGCTTCATTTCTTCCTGATAGGTTATGCATTTCTCAGCACTGCTAGATTTGGTTTCCTCAGCTCCTTCATTGTCCACACCATTACCCTGAGTCTCCATCCTGCTCCTCTTGCAGCTGACTGTCCATGTACTGGCTCGAGTACAGATGGGAGAGCATGGCAGTTAAACAATTAAGATGTGTGTGTAATTAAAATTTTATTACGGAAAAGTGCATACATCCTTAAAAGTAAAGCAAGTTGTACAATGAGCCCTCACATACTTATACATCAGAATTAGAGTTACTAAGATTTTTCCCATATTTGTTTCATTTAACCTTTCTTTATGTTTGCTCATATATTTCAAAGTAAAAGGTAGACATTATGTCATTTGTTTCTACAGGTGCATAGTGAACATTTTTTTTCAATCTGTCAGTTACTCCAATCTTAGATATAAAAATGTCTTTGGGTTTTTGTCCTCTGTTTTTACTCCTGAGTGTGGGACTTCACACCTTTCAGATTCAGCATTGGCCAGTGATGCTGGGGCTTTTCTCTAAAGTTGGGAGCTGTTCCATAGTTAGGTCAGCAGGAGCCATCAAAGCAGAATGTGACGTGCATTTTGCAGGTTCTGTGGCCTGGTTCATCCACTCCCAGTTCTTACTACATTGGGGACATGTCATTAACCATGTCAAATCATAGGTGACTTCTTGTAAATGTTCTCAGCTGTGATCAAAGGAAAAATATGTATTATGTCACTAAGTCTGCTCACTGTTGTACAGATTTAAATAGTCACTAGTTTCTTGGGAAGGAACCCCCTTGAAAATCTGAAAAATGTATAGAAACCATTTTATAAAAAATACATGTGTGTTTATATGTTTATGTGTGTACATACACATATAGCTGGTTGTTACATATATATATTTATATTTATATCAGAAAATTCTGCATATAGTTTTAGGAGGTTCCTAAACCATCTAAAATCTAGTTCAAATTCTGAATCAAGAATCATCATCAATAAATCCCATGTACAGTTGCTTTCTTATATTGCACACACACACACACACACACACACACACAGCTATATTATGTCATGAGCAAGAGGAAGAGAGGCATAGTGATTGGGGAAAAAACTAGTTCATCATCAACATAAGCTACAGAATGAACAAGAGCAGTTACTTAATACTAGAATTAAGATCCTAAAAAAAAATACTTTGAATCTATTGGGGACGAACATAAGGAAAAAGTGGCCCAATTTACCTGTCATGCTAAAATACGCAAGGATTCTCAGCAAAGAATCTCTTGTTCTCACAAACAACAGAGCACCTGAAGCTTTCTAGCTATATAGAAAACTATAGCTTACTATGTACAGAACAAATTCACAAAATCATTAGAGAAAAAAGATATAGGACAACAATCTACTTCATATCACTGTTTCTAAATAGGTGTTAATAAGGTAACATGTTCTAACAAGTAACATTTCTTTCAACTGCCATCAGCTGTGATTGAAATAAAAAACTATTAAAACTGTGGCCTACTCTGCTCACTATTGTAGAAATTTAAACATTACCTGGTTGGCAAAGAGTTAAAGAAGCATTATAATATATGTATTCACTATAAACTTATTTGAAAATGTTGGTGTGCTCAGTGTGTCCTATAATTTTAAACCAGCCAAGTAATAGGAACCCTGTTCTCTTTCCTATTAACCACAGTAAAAGCAGTTTTAGAAAGCTTGAGTTAAACGAAATGTTCACACTGTGAGTGAATGAAAGAATGAAATCCATGTCGATAACTTATTACCACATATAATCTGGCAGGTCACGGAAGGACCTGTGGAAGTAGCTGGTACTCAGGCCAAAAGACCCTAGAGGTGAGGAGAGACCATGATTTCTTCCTTTCCCTCCTGAGGGAAAACTTCTCTTTAGCATCACATCTGCTCTTTAAAAACTTCGGGCATCTTGAAAGCAAGATGGGAAGGGATTTGGATGGCACTCATCATGCGTGGCTGAAGTTTTGAGGGCTGCATGTGGGGGGGTGCCCTCATTTGGGAAAATACTTACATATTAAAGGCATACATGACAATGTGAATGTGGTGGTAACTGTGTGTGTGCATATTTGGAAGTATTGGTTACCTATGACTCATGAGTCCCTTCAAATGTGTCAGTCTAAAAAGTGATATTCTCCTATGAAGCAGTTCATGCTTAGAAACATCCAACTGTTAAATGTTTCAGTATTTTGTTCTAGAATGATTGTGGTGACATTACTATGACAATAAACTTTTAAAAATCCACCCACTTCTCTCTCGTATATACTAATAAACGTAATGTCAGCTTATGAAATAATATGGACAAAATTGCTAGAAACTAAGAATATCCACTACAATTGGCAGACACCTCCCTGCTGCAATGACATAAGAAATGTGAGTTAATATTTGAATGACCCAATTCAGAGATTTTATAAGTTAAAATTAAAATTATACAAGTAGCAGTTAGTGAAAAATTTATTGTAATATGGTAATTTATGATCTTGGTCTCTTCCTTTGACTTTGTGCGAAGCTAGTAAAGAAACATGAACTACTTTTTTTTAATTTAAATTTTATTTTTATATTCCCCATATAATTACAACCCCCTTATTTTGACCCCAAGCCCTCCTTTCCCTGCCCCCCACCCCCCATAGAGTGTCTCTGGTTCATAGTTGTTTGTTGATTTGGATATTTTCTTTCTTATAGTTATTCTTTTTCCTGGTCCCTTATTTAAGTTTTCTAGATTCCTGCTATGAATGAGACCATCCGGTATTTTTCTTTTTCTTTCTGGCTTATTTCGCTGAGCATGATCCCTTCCAGCGCCATCCATGTTGCTGCAAATTGCATGTGTTTATCTTTTTTGAATGCTGAGTAATATTCCATGGTGTATATAAACCACATCGTCTTGCTCCAGTCATCTATTTTTGGGCATTTGGGTTATTTCCAAAGCTTAGCTACTGTAAATAGTGCTGCTATAAACATAGGGGTGCAGGTGCTCTTTGGAATTGAAGAAAAATGAACTACTTTAACAAGCTTCAAAGAAACTCCAGGAATCCTAGCCACTGTGTGAATATCATGCCCAAACCTTGCAACCAGACATTTTCCTAAAATGAAATACAGGAAATTCATATGTGCAAATAAAACATTCAAATTCATAAAACTGTGAAAGTAGAACTATGTTTCTTTGTTTTATGAGAGCGATCATGAGAGTAAGAGAGAGAGATCTGTATATTTGAGACATTGTGTTTCCTAACAGAGTTATATATTTTTTTCCAGGAAATCATTAACTGGAGCATTTCAGTATTTCCAAATAAATGTAACATTTACTACTATGTTATATTACTCCTCTTTCCTTTAGAAGGCACAAAACAAAACAAAAAAAACCCTTACTAAATACCCAGCATAAATGTAAGGTGACTAAGTAGTTACCTGTAAGGAAGTGTTCATTGTCTTGCAATGGAGTGGATTTCTGAGAGGAATGGTTTCATTTAGAGGACAGACCACTGTTCTGATTTGAGTTGTGATGATTATTTGGGCCAATTCCGAAAAAACTTAAGAGACCTCTTTGGGGCATCTGATTTTAAGATAAAGGGTTGGATGAGATTAGTACTTCTCAAAAATGAGGAAGGAAGGGATTGACTATATGAGGACTACCTGAGAGCTTGTCAGACAGCTCTGATGGTATTTGTTCTGAAATACCCTAAAGACTGTTTGCCAGAAGATAGGGAGTACTTGTAAGCTAAAAAAAAATGCCTTAGAGAATTCTGTTATTCCCGAATTTGGAAACCATACAACTAAGTGATCTCCAGTTTCTTTCTGCTTCAACAATTTCTGATTTGTTTGGACTTTGCTAGGCAAATATAAGCATGAACACAAAGTAAATAACAGACTAAAATAACCCATTCATTATTTTATTTACTTTGTAATCTAGAAACAATTTTAGACTCACAAGAAGTTGCACAAGTAATATAGTTGACCCAGCATCCCCAAATGATAACATCTTTCATGATGTTCTTTTCAAAATCAGAAAGTTGACATTGTTACAACACTATTAACTGAACTACAGATCTTACTTGTACTGCTGTTTTTTTAGGTCTATATGTGTATGAAATTCCATCACAAGCATTGATTTGTATAAACACTACTATAATCAGGATTCAGAACTGTTCCATCACCTCAAAGAAACTGCCTGGGGTTCTCCTTTTATAGCTAAATACTAGCCCCATTCTTAATCCCTGGCAACCAGTGATCTCTTTTCCATGGCTATAATTTTGTCATTTTGAGAGTGTTACATAAATGCAATCATATAAGATATATGTAACCTTTTGAGACCTTTTGAGATTGGTTTTTTTGTACAGAGCATAATAACACAGATTCATAGAAGTTGTTACATGTAACAGTCATTTCTTTCTATGACTGAGTCTTATTTCATATACGGATGTACCAAGTTTATTTGTCCACTAAAGGACATTTAGGTTGTTTCCAATTTTTGGTTATCACAAACATCATTGCCATGAACATGAAAGTACAGGATTTTGTATGGGCATTCATTTTTATTTCTGTATTAAAACTACCTAGAAGTTGGGCCTCCCTGGTGGTGCAGGTGGTTGAGCGCAGCGCTATGAAGCTGTCCTCAGCCTCTGCAGTGCCGGTTCAATCCCCACCAGCCTTGGAGCAATCCACAAGGCCAGCAGACCTCTCCTGTCTCACCCACTGCTCCCTTCAGCAGTGTATTTCGTTCCTTTTGCCTGTTCCGTTCCCTGCTCTGTCTCTGGTGAATTCTCTCACCCTCCCACGCACCTGGCCTGTATCCCAGTTCTTGTGTAAATAAATCTTTAAAAAAAAAAAAACAAAAAACTGTAAGTTTAGTCACTGGATCAGCTTATAAGAAACTGCCAAACTTTTTCAGGTTGACTGTACCATTTCATATTTACACCAACAATGGGTGAGACCCAGTTGCACCACAGTCTTGTCAATTCTTGGTGTTGTCAGTATTTTTTAATTCAGCCATTCTGAATGGTAATAACGCCTTTTAATTTGCATTTCCCTAATGGCTAACATATTGAAGATCTTTTCATATGCTGTCATCATTTGGTTAAGTGACTGTTCATTTGCCTATCTTGTAACAGATCTGTTTGTGATCATACTTTTGAATTTAGAACATTCTTTAATTCTTTTGAACGAAAGCCCTTTGTTTGATGTCATTTGCAAATATTCTCTCCCAGTCTGTAGTTTGTCCTTCCATTGTTTTAACATCTACAAAGCAAAAGTTTTAAATTTTCACGAAGTCCTATTTATTCATGTTTTTTTTTTTCTTTTTGTGAAATGTGCTTTTGGTGTGATGTCTAAAGAAGTTCTTTATACAAGTTTTATACCTTTATATTTTGCAGCTATAGTGTCCATTTTGAGCTAATGTTTTTAATGAGGTATGAGATTTAGATTTTTTTAAATGAAAAAAAAATTCCTTACTCCATTAAATTTTTTCTCCCTGTCAAAAATCAGTGGTCCTATCATATGTCAATTTATGTGCACTTACTCTCTCTCTCTCTCTCTCTCTCTCTCTCTCTCTCTCTCTCTCTCTCTCTTTTTGTTCTGGGTGTGTATCACTCCTCCAATAACACACTGTTCATTACTGCTACTATAAATTAAATCTTTAAACCAGGCTTTGGAATCCCTCCACTTTCATGCTTTACTTTTTTTTTGAAATTTATTTTTGCATACAAGAACTGGGGTGTAGACCAGCGATGCTGGAGACAGTGGGGAGCAGAACAGGCAGATTGACTGAATATACTGCTGAGGGGAGCAGCCGGTGAGACAGGAGAGGTCTGGGGTGCCATTTGGGTTGCTCCCTGGCCTGCCAGGGATGGAACTTTTGCTGAGGTGGCTGGTGATAGCTTGATAGCGCTGTGTCTTTAACCCCTGCGCAGCCAAGGAGGCCCATGCTTTACTTTCAATATTGTTTTAGCTATTGTAGTTCCTTTGCCTTTCCAAATAAATCTTAGAATTAACTTATTTCTACAAAAAAAAAAAAAAAAAGCTGTTGGGATTTTGCTTAAATTTTGCAACCCAAGGTGAGTGCTTCATTCCTGTCACCCTAGAACTGCTGGTGCCCAGTTGGGCACAGCACTGGGCTAGGCTGAGATATAGATTAATGCTGGACCTAAGAATGAAGGAGGCAGGCCATAACGTGATGGGGCAGTGGGTGCGATGGGGTGGAAGGAAAACACAGGAGGCAGAAGGAACCCAGATCGGTTTCAAACTTTTGGGTTTGAAGCTCCTTAGATGGATGTTTGGGTCAATCTGTCAGTTAATTCGTAAATCGGGCATTCATCGTGCACCTAGAGCACTAGAAGTGCGGGCTAGTGTCGCTGGTAGTATTAAAATTTCTTCCAGGAGTGCCGGTCTTAACAGGTTGGATAAACTGTCAGCCCCGCTGAGAACGCAACCAGGGAAGGAACCCGCCACCCCGCCCCGCCCCCTCTGACCAGGACCCGCCCCACTCTTGCGGGGCCCCGCCTAAGAGCCGACTTAGAGCTTCCCGCCTGCTGGAGGACTCCGCCCCCACCCTCAATCACCCTCGTGGGCAGTCTTTGGGAGGAAAAGCTTGACCCTCCAGGGCGTCTTTCGATGCAGGTGGGTGAGGCCCGGGGATCTCATTAGCTCTGGGGATGGTTTGACCAGCGCTGTCTGCAATTACTTAGCAGGAAGGCGCCGTAATGGAAAACAGCTTGCATATACACGTTAGGGAACACCTGTACAATCGTTAAAAGTACAAGCACAACTGTTACTGTGAGTTTGGGGATCTGTAAAGTGGTGCTATGAGCTGCAGGTGACAAGGGAGGTGCCTAAAAATAGGGGAGGGAGGTGTTGAAGCTAGTTGGGGAAAGGTCTGAGTGACTTGGTGTTGGTGAGCAGGCAGGAACCAGAGGGACACAGGTTTTCTGTGCCAGGGTAAGGATTCTGGTATTTATTCAATGGGAAATGAGAAGCCAAAGCCATTTCCCAAAGATCTGAACATAAACTAACATTAAGCTTTGAATACAGCCCCGTAGCTGCTCCTCAGGTCAGATATGAACCAGAAGGCTAAAAAGTCGTTTCACTGTACCATTTTAGTGAAAAAAATTGTAAATAAAAATTTGTGCCGTGATGACCCAACAGTCAGCTTCAGTAATAACCAAAACATCCTGTTGGTTCCTACACACATTACTGTGTGTCTTGAGAGAAAAGCCTAAGGTCAAAATATTTACATTAACCTTTCTATACCTCATTTCCCAACTATTTTTCTGCCCTCATATACTTGTATAAGGTTCCATCAACTCCCACTTACACCAGTGACTGCAGTGACTATTTATAAACACAGTAGCACATAAAAGTATAACATCCATTCTGACCTTTAGATATCTGTAAACACTGGCAGAGGGTAGCATTTATTTACCATATTGGCTCCCCCAAATGTTTCCCACTACAGGTTCAATTTAAGTCCTCCATACAGGTATTACGCATTTACTTACGACACACTTATTTATTCCACAGTGTAGGGGAAAATTTTGTCCTAGGTTAATAGCCCATTTACTCCAGAAAATTCTGAATTAACTGTTCTCCCAAACTGCTACAAAGCATCTCTGTAGTGGGAAAAGCAAGACACAGAACACATGATTTCTGACCATGTAGAAATTTATTGCTACCACCTTTTCACCATTGAAGCTTATGATCTTGGTCTTTCCTTCTTGCCTTTGTATAAGGCCAAAAGAGACACATTGGCTACTTTGACGACCTTAAAGCGGACTCCAGGAATGTCACCGACAGCATGACCTTTGCGACCAAATCCAGCAACCAGAACTTCATCATTTTCCTGGAATAAAACCAACAGTTTATTCCTGCTATCAGTGGTAATCACTAGAAATATCCATTCACCATATTAAAAAACTAGGGGAAATTATCCCAAGAACAAAAGCTCTAACAGACTGAAGCACTCACTTCAATAAAATTCAAACAACCATCATTGGGTACAAAGGCTGTGATTTTTTTCCCGTTTTTGATCAACTGGACTCTCACACACTTCCGGATGGCAGAATTTGGCTGTTTGGCTTCAACTCCTCTGAAATAAAAAGAACAGAAAAGTGAGCTGGCTTTTTCAAAGGGGATTCATCTTAATTCACTAGGCACCAATGGAGGTCATGAAATTCTGTTTTTACCTTTCTAAGTTAATCATAATTATTAAACCCCTGTGAATTCAAGAAGCTTCCCCTCAGTGTTTCATTACTATGATAGGATCATTTACTAAAATAAAACAAAGGCATACAGGCAAATTCATGAGGCTCAATCTTAACTAACCTAGGGCAAGAAATTTCTCTTTAATGTAATTCCCTGACACAAAAAATTGTGATCACAAAATTGGTGTATGAGCTTAGATCAGTTCTCACACCATTAAAGCTCTCCAAATGTTCCCAAGTTCATTTCTTACAGGCTAACATTAGGATTAAAACCCTGCTACACATTTCATGTATGGCTATACAAAAACCTACAATTTATATCCCCCCCAAAAACCTTAAGGAGATAATGAACTTTCACTTACACTTTTTCCAGCACAATTCCCTTGGCATGGGAAGCGCCTCCGAAAGGATTGGCCTTTAGGGCAGTACCTAAATGGGCTTTTTTGTACTGTTTATCATGCCACTTTTGATCTCGTCGGTGGCTTCTGAGCTTCCTGGCAGTACGAAGACCGCGACACTTGCCTGAAAGTGAAAAAAAAAAAAATCACCTTATTTCCCGTGCAAATACACGCCGATCATATTTTTACATCTTCTATGACAGCAGCTCACCTGGGCTGCCAACTGGTAGGCATTACATCTCGGCACATAGACCAAACAACTGCCCAAAACCAAAATTTCCCATGAACCAACTTAAAAAGTGTTTCTCGGGTGCGTTCGCTCAAAGGAATGAGGCCCCACGCCAGTGGAGGGGCAGCGACCGCCACCAGGTCCCCTCGTTCGGGAGCCCGGAGGCCTCCACGCCGCTCGGGCCCTTCCTGCGCCGGGCCATGTGCCTGCGGGAGCAGCGCTCCCCGACCTTCCCCTACTGGGCGTCCATTCTGCGTCCAACTCAACGATCTGCTCCGACCCCTATGCCTGTCCCTGAGACCCCCCACCAAGTCCCGCCTTCGGCCCCCTTAGCCCGGCCCGGCTCAACTCACCCATCCTGCCGGCGCCGAGGGCCTACGCAAAAGGGAGAACCTGCACGAAAGGAGCCACAAGGCACCGCGAGCAAGCCCCGCCCAGCCAAGGACCCCGCGTGGCTGTCCGCGCAGTGCCTGACCAGAGACCGCACCGCCGGTTTGAATACGACACGTTTGCACCACTTTGCAGACGACATAAACCAGAATCTGCATTTTATTTCATCTTCATGAAATTCAGAGGTATCTACTTTGCGTCTTTTATTTCTTTTCATGTGAATGCCGGAGACAGAAGGAACACGGACGACCAGCTCCAGACCCACTCGCAGGCGCTCTGGGCAAGCCCACGGGGGCGGGGCCAGGCAGCGGAACAGGGGGCGGGGCCTGGGGCGGAACGGGGGCGTGGCCAGGCGGCAGGACGGGGGGCGGGGCCTGGCAGCGGAACTTGGGGTGAGGCCCAGGCGTGATGTCTGCGGGCGGTCGTGTGGATGCCGTCTGCTCAGTGTGGGAAGGTAGACCGCTGAGCTTTAATTCTTCCTCACAGGCAACATAGTACCGTGGAAAGATTTTAGGGAGGCAGTGTGGTGTAGGAATTAAGAACTTTATACCAGCCCTTAAACTTCAAAGCTGCCATTTACTGGTTGTGTGACCTTGGGCTATATTCGTTTAACTCTTGAAACCTGTTTGTCCCGTAAGATCAAGTAGATGTGAGGGTTTTCTGGACTGTTGGTTCATTCCACGAATATTTAAAAAAAAACAAAACAAAACTTCTCTGTGCTGCACTGATCTAGGCATTGGAGATACAACAGTTGGCAAGAAAGTGAAGGTTTCCCTTACAAAGATTATATTATAGTCTAGATGGGAGGAGACAGTACACAGTGTTAGCCAAAATACAATTTTACACACTGATAAGTGCTTTAGAGAAAATACAGATAGAGGATAGTGATTAGGGGTGAGGGTGGCTGCTCTGTATAGTGTGGTTTAAGTAGACATCGTGTCGAGAGCCTAAAGAGGGGTAACCAGACAGACAAGCATGTGAGATAGAACCTTCCAGGAAGAGACATTCTCAGCTAGAATGGACTGGTGCTCTTCAGGAACTAAAGGACCAGGGAAGGGGAGCTGAGGGAGTGAGGAGTTGTGCAGCACTAGATGAGGTCTGAGAGGTGCATAGTGACACGTGGGTAATCCATGGTAAAAAACTATTTGCTCTCCAGATAATTTAATGCCATTGGAAGTTTTGCTGCAGGAGAGTAACAAAAGAAGATTTTAATTTTTGTAGGACCACTCTGGCTCTTGTGAGGAGAAAAAAATCTGTAAAATGAGTCTGTAAGGCCAGTTGGGAGTGTATTGTAATAGTTCAGTTGAGAGATGATGACTTGAACTGTTAGTGCTGTACTCTAACCAAAGCCCAGTGGAAAGGTAGCATTGAGCAAGTGTGGAAGAAGGGTGAGATGAAGATTGAATTGTCTTTTGGATTTGGTGATGTGGAAGTTGTTGGTGTCTTTGTTAAATGGGGAATCCCATGGAGTGGTGAAAATGTAAGTCTGATTGGATTGGAGCAATAAGAATATGAGAGAGAAGGAATTATAGACAGTAACTATAGGTAATTTTTGCAAGGAATTTTTCTATAATGTAATGAGAAAATGACTAACTATGAAAGTTTTTTGTGGTGCCAGGATGGGTTTGTTTTAGATGACGGGTCTTCTGACCTTTTTGTATATGCTGATGTGGTTTTTCCAATATAGAACAAAAAGTGTATACTTTATGAAAGAAAGAGGATAGTTATACAAGAAAGTTCTTCCGTAGACTAGAATGATGCCCAAGTGGAGGAATTGACCTTTGAAATAAAAGTAATTTATCTGTGGTAGTAGAGAAGATAGAATATAGAGAGGGATATAGCTGCAACTTAATTGGAAGATTTGTTGATGGCAAAAATGTGGAACTTTTGATTTATTTTTCTCAATATAATAAGTAAGTAGCAAGGACATCAGTGAAGACAAAGGGTAGGCAACATAGGTTTGAGGAGAGAGTCAAGTGAAATCATCTATGATAGGAACACTTGCATTAAATAGTGCTTACTCTGTGCCAGATTCAATTTTAGGTGATTTATATTTAATAATTCATAACACTAAAAGATGAATACTTTTATTGCCCCATTTTTACTGAAGTATAGTCTTAGTCCATCCAGGATGCTATAATACAATGCCATAGGCTAGGTGGGTTATAACCAACAGTAATTTATTTCCTATGATTTTGGTGACTGGAAAGTTCAAGATCAAGGTGCTGACAGATTTATTGTCTGGTGAGAACCAACTTCCTAGTTCATAGATAGGTTTTTTTTGTTTGTTTGTTTGTTTGGCTGGCATCTCAAATGGCTCTCTGTGGTCTCTTATATATTGTTTTCCCTCCAGTTTTATTGATATATATTTGACATACTGGGGTCTCTTTATAAGGACACTAATTCCATTTTGAGTGCTCTGCTCTCATGACCTAATCACCTACTAAAGCCCCCACTTACTAAAACCAGCACATTGGGGATTCGACTTCAACATGAATTTTGCCTCCTAATCTAGAAATGTGGGAAGAAATTGACAAAATGATGTGGGATTGTTGGAAGTTACTAGGATTCATTTGTGACTAGTCATAAGGTGATATCAGAATGGTTTTGTATAATCTTTGAGATTTATTCGGTGTAGTGACTGAGTAGGTGGAGAGTTGGGTTTTAGTAGAGCTGGGGGTGAAAGCACAAGGGAGTTAAATAATTGCAAAGAAAGGATTGCACTGAACTATGATATTGAAATTGGAGGAGTAAAAAGCCAGGAAGAGAGAACATCTGAATGCCTTGCCCTGCTATATATAAGAAATTTCTATGAAGGTAAGTTATTGAAGTATTAGTACAAAAGTAGATAAAGTAGCCAGTGAATAGAACAGAGAATCCAGCAAGAGACTCATGAGTATAGAATATTATTAAATAACAGAATTAAATCTCAAATCAAGGCATAAAGAAGGAACTGGCAAGCAGAGATGTGGTTAGTCAAATAAAATTGTATCACCATCTCATGCTTTAAAAAAAAAGACCAAAAAACCACCAATGCCAGATCCGTTAAGGACTTAAATGTCAACAATATTTTAAAAGTCTTAATATAAAAAGGAAAATATTTCTAAACAAGATAAAAAGAAAAGTGATAAATTTAGCTATTTTAACAACTTGTGTTCAACAAAGACCTGAAAGAAAGCAAAAAAACAAGTTACAAACTGAGTTGATACCCACAGTTACAAACTGAGTGTTCATGTAATGATGGGATGATTTATTCCTTGAAAGTTTTGTAAAATGATTTGGATCTGGGGGTTTCTTGTTGGGAAGATTATTAACCATAGCCTGTATTTCTTTAATAGGGCCACTCATAGACTTGTGATTTCTTCTTAAGTCAGACCTGGTAAGTCATTTTTCTAAGAGTTTGTCTATTTCAGTTAAGTTTTCAAAATTGTTGAAAGCTGTTATGACATTCATTTACGTGTGTGTGTATTGTTGCTTGAAGGTTTTTAACTTTGAATTTAATTTATTTAGTAGATATAGTACTATACATATTATTACTTTAGTGAACTTTCGCAGTGTGCGCTTTTCCATTTCATTTCAGTTGCCAAATGTATGGACATAGTGTAGTTTGTCATGAAGGCATGGTGTGTTTTTTACAAATTGAAAGCTTGTGACAGCACTATGTCTATGGTGTTACTTTTTCAACAGTGTGTGCTCATTTTGTATGATGTGTCACATTTTGGTAATTGTCACAATATATAAAGCTTTTTGCTATTATTATGTCTCTTATGGTGACCTTTAATGTTACTGTTTTAATTGTTTTGGAGTGTCACACACTGAACCTAAATATGAAGGCAAAAGTAATCTATAAATGTTGTGTTCTGATTGCTGCACAGCCAACCTTTCCCATTCTCTCTCCCTCTTCTTGAGCTTCTATCCCCTGAGACATAACAATATTGAAATTAGGCCAATTCATAACCCTACAGTGGCTTCTAGGTGTTCAAGGAAAGGGAAAAGTCGCATGTCTTTCGCTTCAATCTGTAGCTAGAAATGGTTACACTGGGCGAGGGAGGTATGAGAATCTGAGAAAGGTCGAAAACCTCTGTGCTAGCCTATTGTGAATGCAAAAGAGAAGTTCTTGAAGGAAATTATAAATGCTACTCCAGTGAACATCCAAATGTGAAGAAAGAACAGCTTTATAGCTGATTCCTTAAGGGAATTCTTTAGATTAAGCCAAAACTTAATCTAGACAAGGTTCTCACTCTCATCAATTCTTTGAGGGCTCAGAAAGGTGAAGAACCTGCAGAAAAATAGTTTGAAGCTAGCAGAGGTTTGTTCACTAAGTTTAAGGAAAGACACCATCTCTAGAAGAAAACGTCATCAGGAAGTGCTGATAAAGAGGCTGCAGCAAGTTATCCAGAAGATCTAAGATAATTGACAGGTGGCAACCCTAACAACAGATACTCAGTGTAGCTCAAACACCCTTCTATTGGAATAAGATATCATCTAAGACTTTTGTTACTAGAGATGAAAAGTTTATGCCTGGCTTTAAGACTTCAGAAGATAGACTGATTCTCTTTGCTAGGAGTTAATGCAACTGGGGACATAAAATTGAAACCAATGTTCATTTGTCATTCTTAGGAATTTGCTAAATCTGTTGTGCTTGTTTTCTTAAATGGAATAACAAAGCTTAGATGACAGCACCTGTGTTTCCATTGTGATTTACATTGAATATTTAAGCCCATTCTTAAGAACTGTTACTCAGTGAAGAAGACTTATTTCAAAATATTAATGTCCATTGACAGTGAATCTGGTCACTCAAGAGCTCTGATGGAAATATGCAAGGACATTTATGCTGTATTAATACCTGCTAATGTAACATCCATTTTGCAGCTCATGGTTCAAGTAGTAATTTTGACTTTCAAGTATTATTATTTATTAAGTACATTCTAGGAGGCGATAGCTACCATAAATAGTAATTCCTCTGATGGATCCAGACAGTAAATTGAAAACTTCTTGGAAACACCTTTCTAGATGCCATTTCAACATTTGTGATCAGAGGAAGAGTTACCCTGCTTGCTAGTATTTCCTTTCAAGTAAAATTCAATTTGTGCAGCTCCTGATTTCTCTGTCAATTTACTCATTCTGTGCCAAGTGAGGAAGGGTGACATTCTATGGTAAATTTAGAAAAATTGGTCTGGGCATAATCAGCCCTCCTTTTTGGGACCCACGATGCATATGGTTTCCTGTTTCTTCTGGGCAGGCCTCTTTTCCCTATCAAGAGACCAGGGCTGCTCTCAGAGGCTGCCATGTCTATCTTCTGCTAGCGGTGAGGGAGGGGTTCAGTTCCAATCCATTTTATTTCTACACTAAGTTTTGTCCATCATTCTGACCTTTTGCAGTAATAAAGTAGTATTGCACCTGCTTATCTTACCCCTTGTCTTATTTCTCAATTGACTTAGTACCTATATAGGCCAGAAGGGTGTTGTTATTTGACTTCTCTCAAAGCCCCCCTGAAGAAAGATTGGTTTTCATGAATTAGATCAGCTGATGAGGAGATTGAGGTAAAGGGTGATGCTGATTCTTTATACCATTTTGGGGAGAAGTTACCTTTTGGGGAGGAATAGCCAGTGGTTTTTACAATGTTTACAATTGATATTGGAACATTCAGAATAGTTAGAAGTGATTTCTAGTGTGTTAGCTATAAAACTTGAGGCAGCAGTTACTATGGAAATGTGACAAGTTAGAATAACTGTTTTAAGTAAGAATGCAGAAGCAGTTAGACTGATGATTGCATACTTTGTATAACTAGTAGTGATGAATGTTGAGTGCTTCATTTTACCTGATTAAATTATTAAGCAGTTTTTTTTTTCCTTTACCCAAATGAATAGGATTTCTTGTCCTAAGTCTACCTACTTTTTGGTTCGTGATTATTTCTTCTCACATCAATTCCAAGGTGAAACTAAAGAAACACATGTATTGCTATTTAATCTTTCTAATATTCAGTTCTGATTTTTAAAATCTTGTTATTATAATTAAAATATGTGTAGGTTCTAGGGGGAATTGGCAAAGCAGTTCTTTAATGCCTGTAGTGAAATTCCTGGAAGGGAGTTATTCTCCAGGTGTTCTCTGTCTTGGCTGAGGACCAAACAAAAAGAAACTAGGTTTCTGTTTCAACAGGGGCCTTTTCTTTCAGAAAAGAAAGATTGTATATTTGCTAGGAAAAGGAAGATAATTTTCTTCATTCATGGAATAATAAAAATTATAAGCTCATTCCCTAGAGAGGCTTAAGGATAGGATCAGTTAGCCAGATCTATGCTGTCAGTGAGTTCAGTGGGGATCAGTTGATCTTTGGTGATGGGGAATGATCAGGGGTAATTCTTTCAACCTTTGTATTCCATAGTAAAATGAAGATTAGCATTATTTCTAGATTATTTAAATATAGTAGTATATAAGTTATTATAATGTATACATGCAAAACATTCTGTAAAGGTGAATGTACATACACAAAAATTTAAAATGGATTAGCTTGGATGTAAGACCTGAAACCATTTAATACTTCAACGAAAACAAGTCATATACTCCTTGACATCAGCCTTATAGATGTGTTTGGGAACTCAACTCCAATGTTAAGGGAAACAGAAGCAAAAATAAATCAGCGCTACTACAACAAACTGAAATGTTTCTGCACAGCAAAAAAACTTCAAACTGAAAATACACCCTACTGAATGGGAGAAGATATTGGTGAATAATATATCCTACAAGGAGTTACTATCCAAAACATGCAAAGAACACATAAAACTCAGTGATAAAACACCAATTGAAAAATGGGCAGATGATCTGAACAGATAAGACACCTCTTATTATTACAGCAATGTAAATCAAAACAACATTGAGATATTTCACACATGTGAGATGGGTTGTTATACAAAAGACAAGAAACAAGTGTTGCAGGACATATGGAGAGAATGAAAACGTACACACTGTTGTTGTGAGTTTAAATTGGTACAGTCTTTATGGAAAATAATGTGGAGATACCTCAAAAAATTAGAAATCCCATATGATCTAGTTATTCCATTTTTGGGTATGTACTTCAAAATATAAAAACACTAATTTGAAGAGATTTATCCATTCTCATGTTTGTTGTAGCACTATTTATAATAGCCAAGAACTAGAAACATCATAAGTGCCCATTGATTGACAAAATGATAAGATGTGTGAATATAGACATGATGGAATATTCTTTAGCTGTGACAAATATGAAATCCTGCAACAACATGGATGGACCTAGAGGGAATGATGCTTAGTGATATAATCCACACAGAAAAAAGACAGACATTGTATGGTTTCACTTGGAGGGGTATATATAGAAAATAGACAGACAGATGAACTAAATAAAACAAAAAGTAAACTTTTTGAATGCAATATCAATTGATGGCTGCCAGAAAGGAAGAGGGAAAAGGGTATGTATATCTGGAAAAAGGAGACAGTGGAATGGTGAAGGATAGACTTGGGCTTCTTGGTGTGACTTTACTGTGATAGACACACATGATGATTCTCAAAAATGAATACCTGAAACTTATACAATGTTATAACATATTATGCATATATAATGTTAATTAAATTCTTCTACATAAATATACAAAGTTTTGAGCATTTTATTTTACTAAGATTTTATAAGTTAAATAATGTAATGCAAAATTTTTTTTCCTAAATTGAAAGAGAAAGAAGGAAAGAGGGAGGAAATGGAAGAAGAGAGAAAGAAAAAAAGTGAAGGTACTCTGATTTCATAAGTTACACAAAGGAGAGGAATAATTTTTCCAATTATTAAAAACACTACTTCTTAATCATGTGGGTACCAGAATTCCTGTTTGATTTTGAAGATAACCAAAATAATTGAATTGGTAACCAGTTCATAGATAATGATCATTTTTAATATTATGGAATAATGTGCTCATATACCAATGAATTAAAAATTTTTGCTTAAATAGATTTTAAGTGAAATTTACAAATTTATGCTAATCATTTAGCTAAAAAAACATCTTGGATTTGTTACTGAGTAGTTGTACTCAGTGCTCTTTTTGAAACAAAGTATGCTGATTAATTTTATTCCAGTAAAATCCAGTTTGCTCTTATTTTAAACAGTGGCCTAAAATATAAAGTGTAGATGTCATCATCATAAGCAACATTTTTAGCATATATTCACTATGTGAGTTTTACCTTCGTGGGTTAAAACTGTGATTCTCATCCCTGTCAATGTGGGGACCTTGCAGATAAGTGCTGGGAGCATTTTTGAATGTGAAGGAAGCCTTAACCCAGAGTCTGAGAGGCTCTCCCTTGCCCACAAACCTCCCTTACTAATCAAAATGCCTCTATTATTATACTAAATTTATTATCTAG